AAAGACAAAAGACAAAAAAAAAAAAAAATTGTTTATACATGTTTTGGGGATTCAACATTGAGATATGTTGATCAAATCAATATTACTAGCATATATATTGTTACAAATCGTAATTACTCTTTATGCCCCTTGTCCAACCCTGCCCCATCCCCTTTCCTCTCTCCCTCCCCCTTCTAATCATCCTAGATTTCTTCTCTCCTTCTGAAAGAATAACGGTTACTCTGTTGATTTGCTGCCCAAATGATCTGTCCAATGCTGAGAGGCGTGATCAGGTCCCCCAATACTATCATAGAGCAGATGCCTCTTCTGTCACTCTGGAATGGACTCTGTGGAGACAGACATCCTCCTCCTTTATCACTGCTGGTGACTCTTCTTGTGTCAACTCACTCCAGTGGCTGGTGGACCATCTGTGTGGTGGTTGTGGCATCTAGCCGCTTCACTGCAGCCATGGTTATCGTGGTGGCTGTGGTGGACCACCCACACAGAGGGTATGTTTTTGGTCTGCTCCATGGTGCTGGCAGTGTACCTGGTTGTGGAGAGTGCCCGTGCTGGCGTAGTGAGCCTGGTTGTGGGAGGGGGGTCTGGTTCCCTTCTCCATGCCCCGGGTCTCCTGGCGGGCCCCGAGGTGCTGGTATGGTAAGCCTGGTTGTGGGCAGGGGTCCTGCCCCTGGTTCCATACCTCATGTCCCCTGGTGGGCCCCAAGGCATTCATGGTGTGCCTGGGCCAGAAACTAAATTTTTGTCCTTTGCTTACTACTAAAATGGGGGAACTTTCTGTGGGAACCAGTACTTGAGCTGTGTGGTTGAGCTAAATTGCTGCTCTGCTGCTGTTTCCCTAGGGAAGACTTTTTGTGCAGCTCAGGGTTTAATGGTTGACCTTATAGGTACTTCCGGCTCTCCAGGAACTTGGTGCACCTGGGTTGTGTAGTAACTCTGATCTGGGCCTGAGTTTTTTCATCAAACTGCACCCCATGCAATTCTGCATTCCGGACCAGTCTCCTCTGGGTGGTCCTGCACTGACTGGGGGCAGACTGGCTGTCCTTGCTGTGTCCCAGTGTTCTCCTGGTGGGCACGTCTCCCCCACTGCCAGTGCTCCAAACACTTCCCATGGGATGGGCCATGCGCATCCCTTGCGCTGACTCACCGGTCTGAGTGGCTCCCTTTTTTCAGCTGTTCTGGCTCCTCGCTCCTGTGGGGATCCACGGGAACCCTGTTAGTGGTCTTGCTGTCCTGGGGGCCACCAAAGTCCTCTTCTCACCTTCCACCTCCAAGTAATTCCATCTATAGGGCACAGCTGCGGCTTCTGCCAGCTCCTGCTCCACGTGCTCCAGCATTAAAGCAGCCACGGCCCGGAACGCTGAGAGCAGTTTTTTCTTTCTCTCATTGTGGTTTCTCCTGCCTTTATGAGTTCCGTAGGTCTCTCCTCCTCTTCCTCTGAGCTCCAGCAGCCCCAGCTGATTGTTTGTCATCTCATCTGACTGTCCTATTTTTTTTTTTTTTTTTTTTTTGTCTTTTTTCCATGTCCGGCAACGGATCGCAACCCTCAGTGTCGCCCCCGTACCGGACCGGGACTGGCAACGGGATCACAACCCTCGGTGTTGCCCCCGCGCCTCGCTCAGCCAGTGAGCGGGAACCGGTCTGTATGTGGGATCCGAACCCTCGGCGGGAGCGCTGCCGCGCTTCCCAAGCGGCGCACTAGCGCAGTGCGCCACCGGGCCGGCCCCTGACTGTCCTATTGATGTCTCAATATAAACATCCAAATGATGGCCACTGCAAAGTCCTAATCTTTCCCCCACTCCTCTGTCCTCCCCGCTTTTATAAACAGCACCTCCGGATGCCCATTTGCTCTAGCCCCCCACGAGGCTCCATCAGCGACCCCTTCCTCACACCGCACATGTCGGCAGGTCCTCTGGCCCGGCTGGCATCTGCGCACCTCTCACCACCACCTCCTGTCACCGACTCGCAACTGCATTCCACACTGGGCTCCCTGCTCGTCCTTGCCCCTGTGCCTACTCTCCCCACAGCAAGAGAGTCCGTGAAAGCGCAAGTCCATCAGGTCTCTCCTCTGCTCACCACCGTCAGCGGCCCTACCTCCAAGAAAGAACTCAAGTCCTGACCAGAGCCGCCAAGGCTGCCCTCCCCTCTGACTTCCCTCCCAGTGACCCTGCTCCAGGCCGCTGCCCTCCACTGCTTTCCCTGAAACACCCCAGCCATGCTCCTGCCCGAGGAACTTCAGCTCAACTCTTCCCTGTCTACAAAGCACTTGCCCAGATCCCCGCAAGGCTCACCACCATGCTGTCACACAGCACCTCCTCAGAGGCTTCACTACCACCGTGACCCCCTGTCGTCTTTGCTTTTCCTCACAGCCTGTAGCACTCACCTGGCATCACACCGAATACTTATTTGTCATGGTCTCCCCCTCCCCTGCTGTTCTGGTTTCCACTTCATGCCTGGCTCGTAGCAGGACCCAATCAGATTTGTGGAATGAATGAAAGAATGACTGAGTGAATGAGTGAGGGAACTGGCAGCAGCCAGAAGAATGCCTAACACCCAAGGAAGTCAGGCCCAGGACCAAGCCGGAGGAGGCCAGGGAGAAAACAGACTGCAGGCCGACCTTCACCCTCCCGATGTCCTGAGTGTGTGAGGGGGAAAAGAGGGCAGGAGCGGTTCCACTCCCCAGCCCATGGCTCAGCAGCCTGGCCTGGTCCAGCCCCCAGCTGTCCTTCCCTCAGCCCCAGAGATCCCCCCAAGAGCTCATGGCCCAAAGTCTCCCTTCTGTGTGACAGACGTGCTACTGTGTGTAGCATACCTGATGGTAGGGGCTACTGGGACTCTCAAGTAGGTCTCTACTAATGACACTCCTTTCACACAGACCCCCTTCCACACCCCAGATCAGACCCTGGTGATCACAGACCCAGGCCTCAGGGTCCCCAGCCTGTCCTGGGTCAGAGGCCTCATACTCTCTGTGTTCCCCACACTCTTGCCAGCCCTCATCAGAGCCTTATCTCATCAGAGCTCCCACAGCCTCAGTGCTCACCTTTGCAAGGATGAGGCCCAGACCACAGTCATCTCCAACCCCAACTCCAAGCCCTCCAGGGCAGCCCCATGCCTCTAGGCCTCATCTTGCCCCTTTCTCAAATCCACCACAGCTGGCACTATCTCTAGTGTCTCTTGACCTTGGCCTTAGCCAGGCCCAGCACCTCCTTTCTGAAACCTGTCCCTGCTCTGCCAGCTTTCTCAGCTCTGCCCCCTCTGCTGTGAAATTAAACAGTCTCCCCTTCAGATCCATGCATTCAGGCCTTCCGCAGCACAGCCAGCTCAGCAAGTCCCAGCCCTGCCACTCACAAGCTGTGTGATTCCTGGCAGATCATTCAGCCTCTCTGAGCCATGATTTCCTTATCTGTAAAATACACTTCAGAGACTACTGAGAGGCTTTAAAGGCTATAAGGCAGCAGGTACCCAACAGTTGGTAGACTTCAAGTCTGATCCCCACCATGCCTGGGCCTGGGGCTTCCCATCCTGGGGAAACTGTTATTCCAAAGTGTCGCCCTGGAGCTCCTGCCTCCCTCCTGCCCCCCTGGAAGGGGCTCTGCACAGGCCATGGCTCTTTCCCCAAGCTTCCTGGGAGGTGTGGCATGAGGCGGCAGGAGAGGGGCTGAGGAGAAGAGCCAGGTGGCTGAGCAAAGGGGCCACAGGGAAGGAGGCCACCCACTTATCCTATATATCTCTGGGCCTCAGTTTCCCCTCAGCTCAGTGAAACGTATTTCTACAGGCAAAGCCTGCTCCAGACTGGCGGCCTGAGCCAGTAGCAGTGTGAGCCTCTGGGGCACTGGGAAAGGCTGAAAAACACAAGCACCAGAATCCAAATCAGGAAAGCCCAGAGCCAGGGTTGCCATGGCAACCTGCAGCAGGCTCCTAGCCTGGAGCTCAGCCTCTCTGGGGTGGGGGCTTGGATGCACCAGACTCAGCTGCCCCTACCTCTGAGGTCTCCTCCCGAGGCTTGGCCCAGCTCCTGCTTGTCACCGGAGAGAGGTGAGGCACAGAAAGGCACCTCCACCCTGCCTGGGGGTTGGGGGACCTGGCAGGCCTGGGTTCCCACTGCCAGCGTTAGCAAGATAACTCCTCCCAGAGTCCAGCAAGCCACCCCCAGTGTCCTTGCACCACCCAGGCCCAGCACCAATTGCTGCAGCAGCCACCTAGTCCATCAGCCTCCTGGCCAGTCAGCTGCCAACACAGCATCCGGGTGTTTGGGGAGCCCTCAGGCCTCTGCCAGTGCCAGGGGCCTTGAAGTTACTTGGGCACAGGTAGAGGGCCAGTGCAATGACCCTCAAGACCTTCCCTTATAGCTGGGGTGGGGAAGGGACAAGCTCAGGTGCCAAGCACTGGTGACGTGCCCTATACGTGCTTTCTCTCATTTAATGGTGCTCTCTTTTGACAGATGAGGAAATAAACTCAGAGACATTAAATGACTTCCCAAGATCACAGAGCTGCTCATGGTAAGGAGTGAGAGTTTCCATCCTGGACCCTTCCCATGGAGCTTGTTACCAGATACCCTGGGCTGAACATCCAGCATGTCACCGGGGGCCTTCGGGGGCCCATCACCAATGACTCACCTAACTCCCCGGAGGCTCCCAGACACAACCCCCAGCCACAGGGCTGTGACCAGTCTGCACAGACACACAGTAGACAGACAAGGGACTTCATGTCTCTCTTTAATGGCTAACCTAGCACGGCCCAGATGATGTCCATGCCCCAGCAGGGAAGTCTTTCCTCCCGCCTGATGTCCCCTGAAGAGCCACCTAAGCTGGCGCCCCTCAGCCTCACTAGCAGCATCACAGTCCAGTTGCGGTGTTAGGGAAACAGCCTCATCTCAGCTCCTTCAGCAGTCTGGTGATAGAGCCCAGCAGTTCCTGGAAGTAGCCCTCATGCTCGCCATCTTGGAGCTCCAGGGTGGCCAGTGCTTGGTACTCAGCCTGCAGGCCGGCCAGCATCCTGCTGAGCTGGGGGTCCTGACGATACTGGTCCCGGCAGGTGGCCAGGAGAGCGCCCAGCGTCTGTAGCACCTTTTCACGGGCATCATGCTCAGGCAGTGCCAGGAGGTGGGTGGTGATCTCGCACCAGCCCTGTTCCCGAAGGCCTGGCAGAAGGTGCACCTGGCGATACTGCTGCAGCTTCTCTGGTGATGTACCCTGGGTCAGCTCGGCTTCCTCCTCGGCAAACATCTGCCATCCGCATAGCCAGGCACCGGGTGGGGTTGGGGGTAGAAAACAAAGCAGTCAGCTCATGCAAAGCCAGCTCGCCCTTCAGACATGAAGGCATGTGGCTGTCCCATGAAGCCCACCCTCCTTCTCCATCCCCTTGGGCCTCAAAGGACCTCACAGGAGAAGGTGAACTTGGTTCACAGCTTCAAACATGCTCCCCCATCCATGCAGATGTCCATCTTTCTGTCTGTCCATCCATCATCCACTTATCAAAATACCTGTACACTGTGCCAGTGCTGGATAAATCAAGATGGAGACATGGTCCCTGCTCTCAAGGAGCTCAGGGTCCAGTGGAAGAATAAAAATTAATGGAATAATCCCTAAATAGCATGATGAGTTTAATCTAACAGTGCAGGGGGTTGGGGGGAAGCAGACAGGGTGGGTTCAATTCCTGCTCCACCATGACTAGCTGAATGACCATGGGTCAGTACTCAGCACCCCTAACACCCAGTGCCATCACCTCTCAAGTGGAGATACTAGGGCCCTCAAGACTGTTGGGAGGACTCAATGGAATAACGAAGACACAGCCAGCGCCCAGCAAACAGCACACTCAACTGATGTGGGCTTCGACAGCAAGCATTGTTATAAAATACACAATAGTCCCCCCTTATCTGTGGTTTCACTTTCTGTGGTTTCAGTTCCCTATGGGCAACAGCAGTTTGAAAATATTAAATGGAAAATTCCAGAAATAAACAATTCACAAATTTTAAATTGCATGCCATTCTGAATAGTGTGATGAATCTCGTACAGTCCTGCTCTGTCCCGTCCAGGACGTGAGTCATCACTCTGTTCAGCTTACCCACACTGTAGATGCTCCCCACCCATTAGTCACCTAGTAGCCATCCTGGTTATCTGATTGACTGTCAGGGTATCACAGAGCTTGTGTTCAAGTCATCCTATCTTACTTACTAATAGCCCCAAAGCACAAGAGTAGCGATGGTATTAGAATATGCCAAAGAGAAGCCATGAAGTGCCTCTTCTAAGTGAAAAGGTGAAAGTTCTTGACTTAATAAGGAAAGAAGAAAAATCATATGCCAAAGTGGCTAAGATCTACAGTAAGAACAAACCTTCTGTCCATGAAACTGTGAAGAAGGAAATAAAATTCCTGCTAGTTTTGCTGTCACACCTCAAACTGCAGAAGTTGCAGCCACAGTGCGTGATAAGTGCTTAGACAAGATGGAAAAGACATTACATTTGTGGGAGGAAGACATGAACAGAAACATGTTCTGACTGATGGCAATTGGGTTTGGTGCTGTCTGAGCTTTCAGGCATCCTTGGGGGTCCTGGGACATAGCCCCTGTAGAAAAGGGTAGACAGCTGTACCTCACAAATGGTGTCTCCGTCAGCATCATCATTACCACCACCACAGGTGCCTTGGGCATTTCTCCAAGGAGCGTGGCCTTTATGCTGAGGGCCTGGGGAGTTGAGGAAAGTTTGGGCAGGGAGTCTACATGCATGGCCTGTCTGTAAAGTGCAGGAACCTAGCTCCCTCAGCAGAATATGGTGGGAACCAGTCCTGCCAGGGCTCCAGAGACACGAAAGGCAACACTTGAAACATGACAAGTAACCAGCTTATTTCAAATGTCGGAGAGGCCATGCAGGGGTAGAAGGCTGGGAGATGGCAGTGATCTCCCACAGAGCTGCACTAAATGTACCTTCAAGGACAAAGAAGGAGCCCCTGCCCTAACCCCTGAGGAGAATGAAGAATGGCGGGATGGGGAAGGCACAAGGGAAGCCCAGGAAAAGACCAGGGCCACAGTGCACCTGAAGATGCCTGTGGCAGCACGAAGCCATGGGGCTAATCTCAGTGTCACTGGACCTGTCTCCCCCGACAGCCCAGAAGAGGTCAGAGCCCTGATCACAGGCCTCCTCGGCTCACTGCTGTGGTGATTCTCTGATAAGCATCTGCCTGAAAGTGCTGGGAGAGCAGCAACTACAGACTGTTTCCCCAGCACCTGGCACAGCATCGGGCAGGGCAGACACCCAGTAAACCCCTGTGGAAGGAACCAGCAGGCACAGTCACCTGTGGTCTTTCAGCTCCACAGACGCACCAGAGGACTTGGGATCATTACCACAGGCAGGCATCTGACTCTGCAGGAGCCCAGATGTCAGGGCACAATCTCTTTGTAGAGGCCCTGTCATGGACCAAGGCACAGAGAAGGAAATGCCTGGGGCCCGACAGACCACAGAAGGGGTACACCAGCGACCCCTGCAATCAGTTGGGTGGGTCCAAATTCTCCATGGGCACTCCAGGACTCAGCTGCAGTCTCCTCACACCAATGCCCCATAGGTACATGGCACCCCAGTAGGCAAGCTGACACACCTCCACCTTCAGGCAGCTCTGGACCCACACCCAGTTTGGCTAATTGTTCATTCTTTCTTAGGAACCACAGAAAAGAGAAGCCCTGACTGCCTCAGCCACAGAGTATGGTCTGTTCTAAAGCTCTCTGGCTAAAACCCCTCTACTCTCCTCCTCCCTGGAGGAAGATGGCCACCTACTGTTTGCAGAGAGATGCCAGTCCCTCCCTCCCTGACCATGACAGTACCCCAAAGCCTCCACAGGGCCAGCTGACTCAGAGCAGCCTTGGTGTGACTGCCTGCGCTCTGGCGATGGTCAATACCACAGTGCCTGCAACATCAGGGCTGGAGGCAGCAGAAACACACACCCAAGACACCAGAGGCAAGAGATCAGTTTCTCCTGGGAAATGCCCAGCCAACATACATGTCCTTCTCCAGGCTCACTGGCCCATTCCCAGGATGTCAACTGTGTTTAGGCCTTGTTAATTGATCTAAGCACCACACGGCTGCTTGAAGTTCTGAGAAACTGGGTTTCTGCAGCTTGCACCGAGAGACAGAAACAGACTGAAAAGACAAGCAGAGAGGGGGCAAAGAGAGGAAGCGATAGACAGTCCTGACCCTCTGCAGAGGAGAGGAAGCCTGGGGGAGGGGCCCAGACTTCAACCTCTAGCAGCAGTTCCGGTGGCTGCCCGCTCCACCAATCAGCAGTCGGCTGTTCTGGGGAGTGTGTGGCCAAGAGAGACAACTAAGGAAGCCCTGCCAACGCTCTTTGCCGCAGCTGAATTAAGAATCCAGGCCTGGCTGGTTTTCCTCTGTCTTCTTAATTAAGATGCTTCTCAGGTTTGCAAAAGAGCAAAGGGGACTGGGCACCAAATCTTCTCCCAGGTGGCAAGCAACTGAGGTCCCTGGGGCTCTCAAGGGCAGCCATTCTGAGTCCCTGCCTGGAGCCAAAGCTCCCAGGAGGTACCTCCAGGTTTCTAGATCCTAAGAGTCAGTACCGTCCCAGCCCCTGGCTCCATGGTCTCCTGGCTGCTGCAATGGCTCCCAGGCTCTGCCGCTCCATCCACAGGCTCTGCACCACCCCCACCCCATGCCTTTCCTTCCATGAAGGGCCTGATCCCACCTGTCTCTGGCCTTCAGTCATGCTGACCTCTCTGCCTGCAAAGTGCCCCCTTTCCCTTCCTCACCAGCCCTCAGCTTTCACTTTAGCTGTCACATCCCACAGGATATCCTTCCTGATGTCCCAAGTCTCTTTCGTTCATCCGTCCATCCATCCATCCATCCATCCATCCATCCATCCAGATGGATAGACAGAAAAGACTTGGGAGGTGGTCTTGGTCAAATGGCTGTAAGCAAACACAAAGCAAAGTGAGGGGGAAGCCAGGACAGGTGTGGGCACTCACCTTCTCAGTGACCAGGTCATAGAGGAGGGTGACCACGCGCACAGCCAGCACCTCTGTGTCCTTCTCCTGCACCAGGGTCCTCAGGACCTGCAGCCCTCCCAGCTTCAGGAATTGCTGCTGGGCATAAGGAAAATGGCGCAGCAGGGAGCACAGTGCAAACAGTACCTGGGGAGGCACAGATCCAGGGACAGGTGAGGGGCCACAAAGAGGTAGACCTACCCCAGAAAAGGCAGCCGGAGGTGCCCCAATGACCCTAGCACAGACCCATTCTCCTAGCCTCACTCAACACCCTTAGGTGCAGCTACACCCTAGAACCCAGGACTGTGAGAGCCAGGAGGGACCTCGGACACCTTCAACATCACCCAGTGGGCAAACGATGGGTAAATGGAGGCCCGGAGCAGGAAGACAGGGTGGAGCCCAAGGCTGCAAGGCTGGAGCTGCACCCAGGCCTCCAGACGCCTGGACACGCTGCCGTCGGCTTTTGTTGAATGTGACCTCTTCCTCTGTACCTCCCAGTGATGACACTTAGGCCCCCAAGAGTGACATGCGCCCCAAGCGACCCTTTCCTTTCAGCCCTCGCAGGTGTGCTGGGGTCTGGGCAGGAAGAATTGGCAGAAACACACCTTCTTCTTCACAGTGAGAGGCTGCTCCGTGGCCAGGATGACCAGTAGCTTCTGCAGGGCTCCACCTTCAATGGCCTTCACCTGGACCTTTGGATTGCTGGGGGAGGAAAGCATAGGAAGTCGTGACCGCTCTGCCCAGCTCAGGGATCTGAGTGGTTAGGGAGCTGATGTCACACCAGCCATCCTGGGAGAAACAACGAGCACAAGGGGAGGTTCCCACTCGGCACAAGCTAGAACTGTGCTGGAGAAACAAAGTCTAATTGGTGTGGACCCACCTGAGTACCATGGCCTAGCCACAGATGACAGGCCTAGGGCCCCCATGCCAGCCTCCCACTCCCCAGCAGCCAATGGGCTGGGTTGAGCTGGGAAGGTAAATCACCTCAACCATTTTAAGATCATTACAATGCCAAAGGTGCTACTGCAGTGTCCCTTGATGGGGAGGCTTCTTCAATGCTCCCCCAGCCACCTTAGCATGCTCCTTCTTCCATGATCCCAGACATGTCACACACTGGGGGCATTACTAATGGATATGCTCCCCTCTGGGTATAGAGCTCCTTGAGGTCAGGGCCCTGTTCCTCTCCTCTCCTGAGTCAGCGCTCAGACAGCACATAGAACATGCTTGTGGGAGGAGGCAGGTAGAAAGTTCAAGACCCTGGGGTGGCCGGTTAGCTCAGTTGGTTAGAGTGCGCTATTATAACACCAAGGTCAAGGGTATGTGTCCACTTACTGGCCAGCCGCAAAGAAAAAAAGAGATGAGATGAGAGAGCAAGACCCAGAGAGCCTCTGAATGTCTAAGAAGATCCTAAAACAGGACCAACCCAACACCTCCCCACAAGGCACTCCTCTCTAATAACAGCTACTGTGATCTTCTTTGTCCCTGTATTCTCACCACGCAGCACAGAGCCTGCCACGTCTCAGAGCTCTGGACAATAGAGAATAAATAAACACATGTACACAACCATGAATGTACCAACAAACCAGCAACACTGAAACACTAGAAACCCAGAGCTGCCTCTGGAACTCCTCTCTCCATGCGGGGCTGGGGAAACAGTGATGTGATTAAAGCAAACATTTCAGGCCCAGCCCTCCTGGGACTTGGAGGGGGGCCTCCATTAGGGTATGGTACCAGGACATGACTGGAAACCCCGGCAGGATACCCTTCTGCTGGCTCCTTGCTTTCTAACATCACGTTTGTGATCAATTAAGGAGCAAGTATCAAGCGCGGGACCTGTATGGTCAGGCCCTCAGGAAAGGTCAGAGCTCTCCCACTTGGCAGCCCACTTATAAGGTCCCAGAGAAGAGAGGGGGCAGGCATACAAAGAGCCAGAGGCAGCAGCAAGGGGAGGGGCCAGGCCAGAGGTCAGACAACAGCTGTCACATCCACGCAGAGCACCAAAGTCTATCAAAGACTTTGTATGTCTCTGGCTGCCCTTCCTTAGCAAGGCCATAAGCTCCCTAGAGACCCAAAAAGCATCTGTTCCTCCTATCCAGGGCCCTCACGGCATCCTGGAGAGTGAGGCTGGGCGCAGGGAAGCAAAGTCAAGTCAGAGGGAGTTGGTTCCTGGTCCAAACCCCAGAAAAACAGGGAGGCAGGAAATGAGAGAGATCACTTCCACATTGTACCAATGCCCACAGGAGAGGGTCAGGCATACAGCAGACACCCCCAAAAAGCTGGCCATATGGAGTGATGATGGGGCCTGAGTCATTCCTAGAAGAGGGCCCACCCCTTCCATTCCTATCAGGACCCAGCTTCAAGGTTCAAAGCAGACCTAGCACCCTGAGCCACAGTTTTTCTGCTGTAAAATGGGAGGCTCCTTAGTCCCTCTGCAGCCAGAAAGCAAGTGCAGGGTGGGTACTGGCCTATTCCACTGCAACTCCACTCTTGTGTTTGAGGAGCAGTTTGGATATGAGCTGGAGTCCCTGGGGAAGGGAGGCTGACAGCTTCTCCCCAGATAGGCAGGTGGGCACTAATGCGGGGGAGCCTGGAGCTAAGCTTCTCTCCTGCCCCCTGCTCCCCAGACTTGAGAAAGGCAGCTGCTTCATCAAAGTGTGAGCTAATTAGGGCTGTCTCTGCCATCATGTGTCTGACGAACGCTCACCCACAGCAGGCAGGGTCTAGGAAGAGAACACAACCACACTGAGAAATTCACAGAAATGTCGAATACTGCCTCCCAAGGAAGGAGGGCTGAGAGGCCCGATATAGATCAGCCTCAAGGAGCCCCATGAAGGAGCCCTACCCCTCACTGGCCCTCCAAAGACAGGGCAAAAGGCCATCATAGCACCCATCATTATAACCTCAGGGAATCACCCAGGGCTGGGCGACCAGAGCCCTTCCATTTCCTACACTGGAATCAGGACAGAGACATGTTCTTTTCTTTCAGAAGGTCGGTTGATATAAGCCAGGAGCTACCTATAGCAACGTCAACAACAACCAGGTCCCTCCCTCCTCAGGCAGACTTCCGCCCCATCCCCATGGAGGGAAACCCGTTTTGAGCAGAAGAGAATAGAGCTCAAACACAGGAGAAGTAAACCAGAGAGAAAGAAAGAAAGCCTGGTGACCTTGTGGAAGTTGCTCAAATCGCTTTCATAGGCATTTCATGAATGCACTTTTTCACCTGCAGCAGAGTCCTGAGGACCTGCGTTGGTAGAATAGGGCCATGGGCCAAACGTGAGCCTGCGCCTGCCTGGCCTTTTCATAAAACCAGCTTAAACGGGGTGCCCACACTAACTCTGGGCCCTATCTCAGGGCTCTCACAGCTTAAAGGGTTCCATAAAACACTTCTGAAACAGCCTTTTAGTGCTGCCCAGATGAGCCTGCGCCTGCCTGGCCTTTTCATAAAACCAGCTTAAACGGGGTGCCCACACTAACTCTGGGCCCTATCTCAGGCTCTCACAGCTTAAAGGGTTCCATAAAACACTTCTGAAACAGCCTTTTAGTGCTGCCCAGTCAAGGAGTTGAGGAAACAGCAGAAGGAGGGTGGAAAAGACCAGGCCTGCGTTTCCAGATGCCCCTCAGTCTATTCAGGCAGGGTCAGCAGAACTGGGTGTTCCTGCCCATGAGGGCAGACACCAGCCTGCAGCCAAAAATAGACAACTCCCCCCCGCCCCCCCCCGGTAGCTCCACCTGGGCTCTGAATGCTCAGAGCATGTACTTTGGGGGAGGTAATGCCCCAAAAGGCTCAGAGTAAGGTCTAGGGATGTGCAAGGGCCAGGGCCTGCAGGACCCCTGGTGGGAATCCTGTGAACAATGGCTAATGGCCTTAGGCAGTCCCTTGACTTCAGTTTCCTCACCTGTCAGGCAGAGCTAAAACTACCTTGTATTAAAGATAGCATAGCTAATGAATGCCAAAATGCTAGCCAATGTGTGTGGCCAAACAATGACAGAGTGGGTTTGCTACACGAGAGGCCAGGACGTATGATTAATACAGGTTTATTCAGCCCAGATGCTTCAGGAACATCTATGCCAGCCCCATCCCCTCCAGCCTATGGGCTCTGGACCAGAGCTGTGGCCCATGCCTGCAGGTGCCAGTCCTGCTGGCTGGAAAGTAGGTGTCCTGATAGTTGGGGATTTGAGTGAGTTGAGAGGAGGGGGCCTGGCGTGCCTCTTAGTGACATCAGTGGTGATGGTGCGCTCAAAGTCAACAGAAGGATATTAAGGATGTAGCTCATCTCCGACACGATAAATGAGAATAAACCTTGTTCAGGGCTAAGCTGGCTGGACTGAATAAATACCATTAGCACTTGGATTACTGGGATGTTCACAATCAGCAGACAAGTCAGCTGTCTGTGTACAGAGGGACAGCAGCAGCTGCTACTCCGTAAATCTTGGGGGAATGGGTGCGGGGTGGGGTGGATTGCAGAAATGGAAGTGATTGCATTTGCAGAAACCAAACAGTCTGGGTCAGGGTGACAGCAATGTGGGCAATCTGCCAAGGGTCAAAGGTCCTATTTTAGCTAACTAAAGCTGAGCAAGTGTCTGGTGGGAGCTGGGTAGAGAAGCTGATCTGGCAGACAAGCCAGGCCAGGGGGCCCATGAGCATGCTGCCCAACACAGATCGAGGAGCTGCCCTTCTCCAGCCCTGACACTCAGGACTGGCGACATAATTTTCAAGCCCAAGTGCAATATGAAAATGTGGGGCCCCTGTTCAAGAATTATTAGGAATCTCAGGATAGCTGGAACAGAGCACTGATCCAAGCATGGGCCCTTTTGAGTACAGGGTCCTGTGCCATCACCCGGGTAGCAGGGCCATCAGGATGTGTGCAGCATCTGAGTATGCAACAGAAACTTGCTCAGGGGTGAATTGGAACAACAAGGGCTGAAAAGGCAGTTTGAATCAGGGGAAAAGGAGAAAAGCCAGAAAAAGCAGAGCCCTGGGATGGGAAATAACGATGAGGATGACTGGTTAGATGGGGGCCGAGGAAATGCTAAGTTAAAACCCCGAAGCAGAGCCCGTGTCGTCCAGTCTCTCAGACCATACTTGTACTTCAGGTGTGTCCATGGACACTGGAGACACAGCAGAGGGATATGTTCTCTTGTGAGTTCTCACAATACTTTTTGTTGTTGTTGTTGGCTGGCTGGTGTGGGGATCCGAACCTTTGACCTTGGTGTTACAACTCCGTGCTCTAACCATCTGAGTTAACTGGCCAGCCCTTTCACAATATTTCCAAAAGAGATAAATATTTCTTTTCATTCTCTTAATAACAGAGAATGCCATTGTTTTTCTGAAGTGCCCCCTGAGAAGATGCCACGCAACGGGGGCAGAGGGCACATCTCAGGGGTGCACAAGGTCAGGCTTAATTATTTTCCATCCTGCAGGATGAAGCGGAGCATTCTCACCTTCTTGCCCAGAAAGAAACGCTTTCTCTGGTGGCCTGACCATGTCTATGCCCTAACATGACGCTGATCATCTATGAAACACAAGGATCTGCAGGATGTGTAACCCTGGAATGAGTAGGTTCTAGAGGGATCTCTATTCACCTGCCATCTAGGGATGAATGGGTTAAGTCATCAGTTAATCTATCAAGACACAGACAATCACCAACTTGAATAAAAATGGAATAGTTAGCCCAAAAATAAATGCCACATACAATTCTTCCACATGAAAGTGAAGCCG